CCTGTCACTTAAAACAAACGAAAAAATAAAAACGAGAGATGGTTGAGGGGGGAGAGCGGAGTGAGAGGCAAATCAAAACCAAAGTCTAAAGCTCTGCCTATATCCTTGTGGTAACTGCACTGTGAGAAAAACTTAACTAAAGTTAAAATTTCAAAGTTAAGCTAAAGTTCAGCTTTCTTTTTGAGCTTCTTAAAAGTTTTTTCCAGTCAAGTTAACATGACTTAATGTTTGTAATTTTCATAAAATATTTGTTAGGAATTTGTCCTTACACTGTCCTTATAGTCATGTCTTGTAGGTTATGTCTAAGCTCTTGTTTCTGTGTGTGTTTTTGTGCACTTTACGACTTTAATTATGTAAGTACATAATTGTGTTATTATCGTAAGCTAGCAGAGAGGAGCAACACATGCCGGGTCTGGGTCTGGGTCTGTGTCCGTGTCCGTGTCCGGGTCAGGTCTTTCATGCTCTGTGTCCATGTCCGTGTCCGTCTTCGGGTCATGATCCCGGTCCGGTGTTTTTTTTTTTGGTCAGCCAGCAGAGCCACTGTGTGTGTTTTGTGTCCTGTGACCTCGTCTCGTCTGGCCGCTTGGCCAGCATTTTACGGCCATTAAGTACGGCAGTGTCTTTTTTGTTTCACTCCCCCCAGCTTAAATATTTTCATTTTTTTTTGGGAAACCCTGCTTACCCAGCTTATACACCAATCTTTTAAGGGCCCCCATACCGGGCCTAACCTTTGGCTGCTACACACTGTTTGCTCATTTACCAGCCCCCAAAAAAAGGCAGGAAAAACCATTTTGTCTGCTCATTGTTTTCTTATTATTTAAATTACGAAATTCTGCTTTTAATTATGCATTGCTTCTTCCGCTCCTGCTGCTTTTCCATTCTGCCATCCATCCATTAGAAGCAATTTTCCAACCAACCAACAGAAATTCTCCTGAAACTCCGATTATTGATAACCTTCGGCCTGCCTTTTTCTCTTCAATTATTTTTCTTTTAATTAAGACGTGTGTGTGTGTGTGTGTGTGTGTGAGGCATTGTTTCGATTTAATTATCGCTTTGATATATATTTAAATATTTTCAAACATCTGAGTGGGAAGCTGACAAATGAGAGCTTCGTTTTTCTTGATTTTTCCAATAGCTTGGAAGCTGCTTCATTGTTTTGTTGCTTTTTCTTTGCCCCTCAACGTTGTGGGTGGGTAACTCAAAGCCAAGGACATCGAATTTCAAAGCAAAAAAAAAAAACAAATCTACGAAATTGCAAGGAAAAATCAAGGGAGGGGAAAGCAAACTTGCCCAACAGGTAGTGGGAGAGAAAGAAAGTTAAGCTGGCAAGGAGGAAATAGTTCCATCTGCCATGTTTTTTTCTTTCCTCATATAACCCAGAGATCAATATCCATCAACATCTTTGTTTTTCGGGGCCAATGGTTTTCTTCGCTTTTCACGCTTTTCTTGCTTGAAAATTATTATTAAGTGCTTTTCATTTGCAGTGCTTGTTGCTGCCGTCATCCAATAACCCAGAACGAAAACGAAAACGAAAACGAGAACCAAAACCAGAACCAGGATAACCATTCCTTATGTTTACGTAGACTTGGAGGGGCAATTCGTCAAAGTCAAAATTGCGACATTGGGAATGATAATACTTCTCCTTAGCCCGGCGGCTGCTGGCTAAGGAATGTGGCTTGCCTGCTGGCAGGACGGAAATAAATTGTTATTAATGTGCCCTGCCCGTCTGCTGCTGCTACTACCACTGGTTACCAGGAATCGTAATATCCCCCTCATACCCCATAACCATACCCAAATACCCATTCCAAAAAAAAAAAAAAATTCTTGTCTACAGTCGATAAATTATTTGGCCAAAACGCGCGCCAAATTGTAAATATCTTTATGCGGGGGCCGAAAAATGGCAACGAAAATAATGTTAGCCAATTTAATGGTCTGGCCACTTGTTGGATATTTGGATCTCTCTTAGCTCCAGCAGTTCTACAGCAGCTCTACAGCTCCACAGCTCCATTCATCGTCATCTTGCAGCCATAAAGTGTTTACGGCCAGAACTCAAATTGATTTGTGCCCAGCACGAATCAAATCAATTGCATTAGGCGGACTCCTCCTCTAGAGGTAATCATAACTAGGGGCAGAGCCATGAGGAGACTTCCTTTTGCCGGTCATAAAGCGGAAAACGTTACTGCCATCAAGGCAGCAGGAGATGATGAGCACAGGCGCTGGCGAAGGATGTCCATAAAAAAAAAAAAAAAAGGCAACGGCAACGGCAAGGACACACGGTTAACCACCACCCGTCGGCAGGAGGACACCGACCAGGATACCAACATCCAACAGGAACCGCCAACCATCAAGGCCATATAGCCAAACCCACCATAGCCCTTGCCCATACCCATATTGGATATATGTATACCCAATACCCACGGCCCAGGGAATCCTTCGCAAGACGCCCCCAGGACTCGTTAAATTGCGTGCAGCATCCGCACCCGGTTCTCCTCCAATTTTTTTTTACTTCTCCTTCTCCTCCTCACAGCAGTTGGCCACACAGCCACTGTGCACAGAAAGAAAAACAACATTGATTCCATTGCTTATGAAAGAAAGAAAAACTTGAAACTCATTAAAAAAGTTTTCCAATTACCATAACTGAAAAATATTGACAAGAAATCTTGGCCAGTTGGGCCTTAACATTCAACAATTTAAATTGCCAAAAAAATGATAAATTTTTAAGTTTCTTAAAAGAGTATTAATTATATGTGGTTAGAAAGGAGTTTTATAATTGGTTTTAAGTTTAAGATTTAAGTTAGGATTAACCTTTTGGGTTGCAGAAAACTAAAACTAAGTTTAAAGGTGCTTGAAATTATCCCTTTAGGTTAGCAGACTGTTAAAAATCTTTAAAAATCTTGAAAATCTTTTTAACCTTAGACTAGCTAAGGATCTTATCTTAAATACTTAATCCTTATATAATAAAAAACTTGATTAATAAAATAAGCTTATAAATATCTTAAAGAATATCAACTACTTTAAACTTCGAAACTTACTCCCTTCAATATCTACAGTAAACATTACCTTTAGAAACTATTTTTTGTTCTCAAACTTTCTCTAAGTGATTCCACCTCTTCGCTTCATATAAACTCCTCCTCCCACTTCTGGTGACTGTTGTCGTTTATTTGCATTTGACTGTGCGCAGTGGGCAAAGTATTCAAAACAGATTTGTTGGCCAGATTGTACAGCGCTAACAGTTCATTACCCAAATGACTGTGGGCCAAAAAGGAGCCGGGCGCGACGCGATTTGGTTGAAAAGGTTTCATTACAATTTCGGGCACTCTTCTCTCTCCATCGTCTGGAATGGAAAACTTTTCCACCCTCCTACTTATCCAGCCCACTCTTTGGCTGTTTGTGTAGTTTGAGATTTGATTTAAAAGTTGGGGCCCCAAGTTTTAACCGCTTTCAAGGGGCGAAGGACGCCCGCCTGCTGCTGTCGAGGGAATTGCAAACTTTTTAATAGTTATTCATACAAAATCATTTACGAGTGCTCTGCTCTGCTCCTTGACTGCCTCCATATGTGTTGGATATATAATATATATACATATATCAGGATCGGCAGGGGGGGGAAAGAAAAGCTACAGAAAATAAGAAAACTTCCGCAAGAGTTTTTCCTCTTCTGGCGGAATAATTATGCATCATGTAGCCTCAAATCGAACTCTTTGACTGGCACCTGGTCACAGTTGACCGATGATTCGCATGATTGATGAATCAAAGAAGATGGCGGCCTCAAATGCCAATTTGCCAGCTCTTGGATTTAAGTCCACTCAGACGAGGATGTCTTAAGGTGCGTATCCAAACAGGTGCGTTCATATCTGCCATCGTGGATTCGCGGGGGGGACGGCAGTTTAATGAGAAAATAACTTGGATGCGGAGGCCATAAATTCATTTCCGCCCTTTGTTTAATTTCCTTCGCTATCCGCAAAAACTTTTCGCTACGCGCGAATTCATATGTAATTACAATTACGACGACGACGTAATCTCAGGCATTCTCAATGGTGGAATGGCATGTAACGTAGATATGGATGTGGATATACCACCTGCCCGCCCTGGGTCAGGGTCATGGTCGAGGTCGCTTTAGTCGCGCAAAAGTTGACTCTCTGTGTACTTTATATATATGTATCTATATATATATTACGTACACCTGATACACTTGGCGGGGTTTGGCCGGCAAGTTGATTCAATTAAAGCTTTTAGCATGGCAATCGATAGGCCAGACAGACATCAAAGAACACGGCCTACGAGCGTCCCATTTTACTCTTTTTCTTATTTTCCACTGAGAACTGTAATTATAAAATCAATGAAAATAGTTCTACCAATAAAATATACCATACCAATTCGAAATGTCAGTCAATGAACTCGTCTAAGTGTCCTCCTAACCCCGATTTCTCGTTTTTTTTCTAATGTTTGTTGGCTAAACGGTTAGTTCAAAAGACTGAAAAATCAAATAAATTATTTAAACGGTACTTAAAGTGGAGCCAAATGGGATTATTATGTCTTTGAATTGAGTTTTTTTTTTTGTGAAAACTAGGACAACGAACTGGAACAAATGTAGGATGTAAGACTAAGTGGCTTGTACTGAGAAAGTTATTTGTTTTTAACGTAAACACCAGCTGGGGAAGTAGCCCAAGTTAACTGTAAGCTTAATATGGTTATCTCTTTCTACCGTATGCATTAGCATAAGAGATCGAATGCAGGTACATGTATTTGTTTTGCTGACGGATAAAGGAGAATAAAGAAGAAGACGATTTGTAATATTGTTATCCCTTTCTATCGTAAGCACTAACATTAGTGATCGAATGCAAGTACTATATATCTATCTCGCTGACGGAAAAGCAAGATGATGGAAGAAGTGGAATTGCGGGATTCGGTTTTTGACGTTGAGCTGGAGCGGTTATGGAATTAAAGAGATATTATTAATATTAATTAATTAATATAAACCTTTTTGTAATCCCATGTTCCAGGACTATGCTCCAGAGCTATCGGGAATCGGATTATGTGTGGTCAACCTAATGGACGACATGCAGGAGTATACCCGCGGTCTCTTCCTGCTAATGTGAGTGGAGCAATTCAAGGAAAGTGTTCTCCATCTGACCGCCTTCGTTTTGATTTACAGGTACTGCGGTCCAGCCATCCTGCTTTCCTATCTGTATATCCGTACCTCCCAAGAGCTCCGACCGCCCGACGGACCCTTCGCCGTGATGATGTACGAGCATCGAGCGGACCTGCGGATGCAACAGAGGTGAGCATTCCCAGTGATTAAGTTGGAAATATTAGGCCAGGCTATCTGTCTGCTAATTGGGCTGATTAATTCGGTGATTTACCAATCAGGGCTGGCTTGGTCTATGTAATCCGATTCGCCATCAGTCAGCCAACGGAGCCACCCCTTTTGGCCCACCGCTAATGAGCCATCCTCCTTCCAGTCGTCTTTCTCCTCTGTCTAACGAGTTCCAATTTCTTGGGCTGATTTCGGCTACTTCCTTCCCCCTTTTGCCATTTAAAGGATGGCTTTTACTCTGTTTTATGACTTTAATTGAGAAGTTGGAGGTAGCGAAATTTATCGTCTTTATATATTCATTAATTTTTATGATTTATTAATGATTAGTTAGGAATTTGCTTAACTTAATTGATGGGAGCTAAAAGTTAAAAAGTAAGAATATAAATTGGTTTTAGTTCTTTAATGTATGGTCATGAAATTTTGTAATACCTTATTAAAATGAGTCTCTCTCCTGACAGGAACTCCTCAACTTCATCCGTGGAACCGCGTCAACTAAGCGGTGGAGGCGTAGCTGGTCTGAGCAATGGAGGCGGTAGCTCTGCTCGCTCCTACGATTTGTATAGTGCCGAATTGGATGTTCACCGGGAGAAACGGAAACAGCGAAACTTTGGAAGCATGGCTGCCACCCAGGTGGTATGCATGTGTCCATTGATGATCCTTCGCTTCGCCAGGCTCTCACTGGAGGAGACCTACGAGAATGCCAAACATTTTGACTTTACCTATTTAATGTTCGTTTGGGTAGCCTTCCTGCCCACAGTCATCTTTCCATGCATCTATGCCTCGCAGATATTGCCCAGGTGAGCAATGAGAATCTATTAGCTCATAAGAATCCCAAATAAGACTTAATAGCTGGTCTAGTCATGGCATACCACCATCCTATTTTTTATGTTGTATTTTCTTGCAACCCACAGAGATGAAAAGGAGCGCCTGAGGGGCTATTTCCGGTTATCCTCCAAGCGCAAACAGAAAACCCAGCGACGTAGTGATGGTGGCGATGGATCCGGTGGTGGGGATTCTATTGAGAAGGACGAGGCCTCCAATACGACGAGTGTTCATCATGGCTCTGAGTCGCACAAACACTCATCAAAATTGCGACACGAACGAGAAGTGCGTCTGCCAGGACATGGATCATCGGCTGGCGGAGATCGTTACACAGGAGCACCGTATCGTCAGGGCAAGGATAGGGAAAGGGATAGAGATAGGGATAGGGATAGGGATAGGGAAAGAGATAGAGATAGGGAACGTGAAAGGCAGAGGGCTGGAGGTCGTGGAGCTGGCGATGCCGGAGTGGTCAACAATCTGGGTAAGGATGTGCGTGGCAAGAAGCACGATGTCAAGATTAATATAATCTCTGATGGAGGTGGTCATGGAACCACCAGTCATGCCCATTCTGCCCATCGCAAACAGCAGGGCAGCGGCAGCAGCAGCAGCAACAACAACAACAACAACAATCGGGGTCGCCCCAGTCCTAACCAGCGGCATGGCAGCAAACTGACCGCTGACTGTCTGTCCAATGTAACCGCCTCCACGTTTTGCAATGGCAGTGGAAGTGCCAGCGGTACTGGTAATGGACTTGGCAGCGTTCTAATCCCGGACGACAGTAGCACCAGTAACTATGGCGATGGCGAGGAGAGCTCTGTTGTTAGCAGCATGATGGTGCCGCCGCAACGCTGGCCCGGATCAGGCGGTGGTGTGCTGCGACATAAGGATGTGTCGTTTAGTGAATGCAGCAGCACCTTCTCGTCGAGCACTTTGGATCGGGATCTGGAGATCATGGATCAGCTGGAACGGGAGCGCAGCATGGACATTCAGGAGATGCTGCAGCGGGAACGGGAACGGGACAAAGTACGTCGCCAACTGCCGGACATCGAGAAACTCTATGCGCAACGTTCGCCGAAGGGGAAACGTGGTGAGGCTGCTGGAACCGGAGCTGGATTAGCCCTGGTCATGCCCGGCAGTGATCCACTAAGCAGTCTTTCGCAATCCCAATCGTTGTCCACGGAATACAGCCTGTGCTCTACTCTAGAGACCAGCGGCGGTGGTGGTGGCGGCGGCGGTGGAGTATCAGTTGGCCACGAGGAGGTGGTGCTGCAGCATCATCTCGAAGAAGTGGAGGAGGAGGTGGTGCCGCCGGACTTCTATGATAGCTATACACCGGGCGGCTCTCAGAATCTACCGCCCAATTCTGGTGGCGTGCCGGTGGCCACCGCCGTTGTTCCCGCCTATCAGTACCAATACAGTCGCAATCGGCTGAGCCGGAAGAGTTCTGGTTCCGGTTCGGGACATCACCACCATGGCCATCATCATGGCCAGCATGGCGGCGGTGGCGTTGGGGGCGTGACCGGTGGACGAGGCTCCAAGCGGGACAGCTTCAATTCGCTGAACGGCACGGATCTAATAGCCGGCGCCTTCTGCGAACTGGATCCCACGCAACCGCTGAACAAGATGGCCGTGATCGAGGGTCGAATGCGACGAAGTAGTCCCCGCAATGCTAGCTTCAGCTCCGGATCCGGAGTTTCTGGTCGAAGTTCAATGAAATCCTCATCGCGGGACTATGACTACGGACACGGCTCATCCTCGCATTCTGCCCATCCGGAATTGGATTTCAGGGAGAACATTTTTGCAGAGCTGTAAGATGATAATTGAAAGATGTTAGTAGAAGGGAAACGAAAAGCTTTACGGTTACGGATTTTTGCCAGAAGTTGTGCAGCTACGGGAGCTATCTGTTTAAGTAGAAGATTTTCGCAAGAAGGTGTTTTTTTTTTTTTCGTAGGCTATGGGAATGGGTGGGTGGGACTTTTTCTAACCAGGAGGCAGTTGCTCATCAGAGAACAAAAATCTAAGAGAGGATTACGAATATACTTGTAAGGAACTCCAGGAATATGGAGATTTACACCTAAATGAATAAGATATATACATATATAGATCGAGTTATTGGAATACTTCGCCCAACTGGTTGTTGACTAATATGTTTGTTGATATAATAACGATCGACGTGGAGATCAGAGATCAGAGATCACAGATCACAGATCATCGATCGCAGATTGCAGTTTAGAGATGCAGAGTTTAGGAGAGAAGTTAAAACTGTGCCAAGAAACAGATGAAGGGGATAAAGCACTCCCTTAAAACAGATAATATATATATATCTAGATATATATATAAAACTTTTTAAATGTTGCTAACTTTGATGATGAAGAGATGATGATGCAGGGGCAGGGATGTGCCAGTGTTTTTAAACTTTCCCAAGCTACATACATACATATATGGATATATATATATACAATACGATATATATACACTAGACATATGCTAAGACATATTGAATATTACCAAATCAAATGCAAAGTTTATTGAATGTTAAAATCAAAGTCTAAAATACAAATTAATTGAAAGAAAAAATACAAAATCGGGATAAAACCATAAAAGTTATAGCTCTAAGACAGGCCAATTCTTCTGAGCCCCAAAGAATTGAGCCCACACATACACATATACACACACAAAGAACACACATTGTTGGGCCTCCTCCAGATTTGGATACTGATCCTAAATCCTGGATCCTGCCTAGATATATAGACCTATATTATATACTATAACCCTATTTGTGCAAAAGTGTCCGTGCGTGTGTCTAGTCGATAAGTTCATTTTTTCTCTGCCCGCTCCGCTGGCTGTTTGTTGTGGTGGTTCGATGGGGTTTTCAGTGGGTGGTAAGGTGGTGCTGCCAATGGTGTGAGCAAAAAACAAAATAAAGAAGAAAACTAATAAAAACAATTTTTATGTGAGTTGAACACACAAAAGCAAATCTCTCATTGACAGCGTTTTATTTGGGAGTTGTTCATCAGTGGAGGCCATCAAATCCCTTTTTAGCCCAACTCTCTGTGGTCCATAGGTAAGCCTACACTGGGAGAAAGTGGGATGTGTGTTTTAGGATTTTATTTAAGATTTTTGGGAAATTGATTTCTTGTTTTGAAAGTAGAAGAATTAGTTAAATGGTTAAAAATTGCTGAAGAATGAAGCTGCTTTGGGTTAAAATCTTAAATTTGTCGACTACAACATTTTGCTGCATACTTTTCAACATACCCTTTAGAGATTTGAAAACTCTAGACAGTTTTGTGGCATTTTAAGCAACATTTATACCTAGCAGCCATAGTTATAATTTCTATATTCACCCATCTAAACAATGGATCAATCTAGACATATATTTTGACCTGCAAAGCTGGGTTTTTGTTTCGTTGTGTGTTTTCGTTGTGCTTTTTTTTTTTTTTGGCTGCCTGGGTTTTTGGGTGGCGGGCGCACCTCAATAAAAATCCGTGCAAATGCAGAAGACCGGGACCCAAAAATAATACGCGCCTGCGGGGAGCAACGACAGCCCCTTGGGCCGTGTTGGGGGAATGGGCATGGAATAGGGTCAGTGCGCGAGTTCAAAAGTTCAACGCGGGGCCACTGACTCAGCCTCTGACAACCGACTCCGGTTTCGGCTGCTGTTGCTGCTGCTGCTGCTGGGTCGTCGTCGACTTTGTCGTCCACCCGTGACCTGACCCAGTAAAATGATTAAGTGGCGTTATTTAGCAGCTGGCTGGATTTAGTTGACTTGCGTGTAGCTTCACTTCCACCAGTTTGTCTCCATTTGTGTTCATCTCTTTTTGGGTCTTCTAACATTTTTTTTCTCTTACTTTTCTTTCTTTGCATAATTTGCGCTGTTTATTTTGATGGCTTATGGAGGGTAATCGTAAAACGACAAGCATTTCATTCGGAAAAGTCAACTTTAATGGAGAAAACACGACCGGGATAGATAGACAGATGGAGGAGTTGCCTCTAATTCTCCTCCCTCTAGCAGAACCTTTTTGGGTACCCCAAGGAATGCAAGAAGGCAGGGGGGGGGCGGTAAGAAGAAGTTATGGCTATTACCCCTAGGGAGAAAGGGACATTAAGTACAAGGAACTTGGCTTGGGTCATTTTATTGGGTTAATACTCGTACATACCAACCAAAAAACAGACAAACAGACAGACAGACAGGCAGGCAGCCGGATGGAGAGACAACTTTCAATCGTGTGAAATGCGCTTTCAATTACGCGCTGTGTGTAATGAAATGAGCAAATAAATTTATGACTATCACGTATCACGTATACGCAATGTTGGCAGGTAAGCGAGCTTAAGTGACCATTACACACTAACCTGCGTCTGGATCTTCTTCTTTGCTATTTGGTTGGCTTTCATAATCGATGCCCATGGACGCCAACAGCGGGCCAAATCTCTTTGGGCCATCAAAACTGCATTCCAATTGAGCCGATTTTTTTCTGGCCTTAACCCCGCTTCCTTATATCTTATTTATTTATTTATATTTTTTTGTTGTCTTTTTTGTCTTTACACAGTGAGAAATATTGTCCAGGTAGTACATAAAATTCAGTTCACTAACTTTTATAAACTCAACGCTTTTACTTTAGAACTTTATTGGTAGTTAAACTTTTAGCTGCCACTCACTTAATTTGATAACTTTGCTATGATAAAGAGACGACACTCACACACACACACACACCCCCTCATTTTCGCACTGTGTATTTTTCTTGTGAGTTTCGCTTTTGGGTATGTTTTTTTTTTTTTTGGCATGCCCGGCACGTTCCTATAAACAACGTTTTATGCCGGTGTTTATGTTTAGTTTGCCCGTTCGGCAACCCAGCGGGTGGCACGCGGGCAGTGCTGGAGGATTGTTATGTAAGTGCCAAAGAGCATATTCAATTTGAATTGGAATTGGAATTGCCATAGCCATGTCTCCCTTTTGTTGTTATTACTTATTCCATATTCCACTCGCGAATGGATATATACAACGGGGGGAAAAAAGTTTAAAGAAAGTTATATCCATGGAAAAAGTGAAACAAAAACAACAGTCGGGGTGGGCGAAAATTAAAATAAAATATATATAAATGAAAATTATAATAATGCCTTCAGTGGGGAGGGGTAAAATAAAAACCAAAAGGTAGAAACTTTAAAGACTTAGAGGTAGAGGAGTGGGATTTCTCATCTATGATTGACAGGTTTCAACTTTAGGAAGAAGTTCTAAGATCTTATAAATAGACATCTAAAAAAACAAAAATAAAATCATGCAATAAACCTTTTACCAATACTACCTACTATACTTTTTTTTGGCCAAGTTTCTTGGCCTTCTTTTGTTACCTTTTCATGGTAAAAGTAGCCACCGCTGGCTATTACCCAAACCCAAAAAGGCGGTATAAAAACCAGCGGACTATCAGCGGCCGCTGCACAGTCGCACCATCGACGTTCGCGAGTTGATAACCATTCGCCCGGACTCAACGGGAGACGCTGTGTCCTCCAGATACTTCATATCCATCCAGTCACTACGTAAATCATGTTTGCTCTGGCACTGACAGTGGCGGCCTTGGTTCTAACCGGCCAGCAGGAGGTTTGCCGTGCTCAGGTCTCTATACACACGGATGCCAATACCAATTCCTATAGCCTGAAGACACCCGGACTGCAGCAGACCTTCACTAGATATTATGGAGGAGCAGCCAAGACGGCGCAGCAGCCACAGAATCAGCAGGTGGAGCAGCCACAGCAGCAGCAAGAGCAGCAGCAGCAGCAGCAGCAGCAGCAGTTCGAGCAGGAACAGTTGGTGAGTGTAGCTCCGTGGTGGGTGGTAATTGGGATGGAAAAACCTTCTCACTAACTAACTAAAAATATTAGAAAAGTTTCCAAACCCTTTAGTTAGACTTTATTAGAAGAATCAATAATCATTTTTTAGGCTTTACTAAATCAGAAAAAAACTTTCAGAAAATAATCACAATTTCTGGGAAAAAGTTAAGATTTGAATTAATCATTTAAGTTTTTAATATTTTTCAAATATTACTTCAAATCCAAAATATTAATCACTTATTTATTCGAAAGCACCTCATTGACTTCATTGGGATCTCCTGTATCCCTAAACAGATTCTTTAGCTCCTCGAAATAGTTCTTAAATGAGTCCACCATTGAGTTCCAGGCTTGGGTTATATTCTGACCAAATTCCCGGGCTGCATCACCGATCCGTTTGTCCAGTCTCGGATCATCTGGATAGACTAAATGCGGTCGCACATCATCGTACTCGTTGGAGTATTCCACATCGAACTCATCTGCCCAGGTGAGGGTCACCAGGGTGAGAATCAGGGCCACAATTAGTGGTACAAAGTTTCGCAATCCGGAAGTCATTTTGGTCAACTGTTCTGGCCAGCGGCTTGAATGGCCCTTTTGTACTCAGCCCCTTTCAATCCAATCACAGATTATTATGCAACTAGACACGGAAATGTTCGGTGCATGTCCAGATGCATCTCTCATCTCGACCGGAAGTTGTTCAATGGCTAACGCCGCCGGCTCATCGTGACTCGGCTCGTTACCGTATCTGTCGAATCTGGACAGCAGCTTGTAATTGCTGTGAGTGCCAGGGTGACCCCAATGGCCTCTACTTGGGTACAACATTCGATGGAATCGCTTTGATAGGTCGGTTTGCTTTTGATTTTATTGGTTTTGGCCGTGAAATCACTTTCAATTGTTGTTATAGCGGATTGGAGGTCATCATTACGAAGAGGTTTCGTTAGGTTGGGGTCATTAAATCTTATATTCAGATCAATAAATTTATCATAAACTTTGTTATTCTAAAATTGAAGTCCCATTGGTAATGTTTTAAGCAAAAGAAACGAAAGTTCTGAGCCGCCTTTGGGTCTTTTATAGAAAAAAAGGTAACTAACAAGATAGAAAAAGGCCAACGAAGACCAAAAATATTTAAGAAAATCAAAGACAAACTTCTAAAACTTCTTAGAAGTTTGTCAAATTAAAATGGTTTTTAATTTAGCCAAGTTATGAGGTCTAGAAATCCAGTTCTGGATCACCTTTTTTTCCAAATCCTATTTTTGTTCTTCAGTCTTTCCTTAAAACATTCGATTTGCCTTAGTTCCGGTTTCCATTTCCTTTTTTTATTGCACTTATTAACAAAAACAAAAAAAAATCACCCTATCAAGGTTCCTGGGGGTTCCTGGTTAAGGTAAGGTAACCTTAAACCGCTGCGCCAGCCGATTCGGAGATTTTCTGGCGCACTTGCTGCACCACATCCGTAACATTGTTCACAAAGGCCATCCACATGGACTTGATGCGATCGCCTATGCCCATGGTATCCGGTCCGCCCATATTCGGTGCCATTTCTGTGCCCGGTGGCGTCTGACGTCGTCGGCGTTGTAACTTCTTCTTGGTACTGGTCTTGGGACTAACACGAGATCGTGAGGCATTGTTAGCGGCACGCTTACGTGCCCGTCTTCTCCTTGCCTCTACCTCATCGTCGGCAGAAGATGCTGTTGTGGCGGCACTGCCCATTTTCCAGAAACACGGTGCTCGTCTATGACGATGCAGGCTCCTCCTTCGACGACGACGACGACGATCCTCCTCGGATGAATCAGCCGCAATTGGACGTATGGCATCGCCGTAACCCATAGAAGTTTTCGATTTCATAGATAGTAGAGGATTGCCGATGTCAAGGTCACGGTTAATGGCGCCGCCACCCTGAATGACCTCGGCTATATTCCCGGCCAGACTCATGGCGCCCAAGCTAAGGCTCTCGAATGGATTCTGTGGCCCTGGCCTGGCCGCAATCCGGGCCAGACATAGAGCCAGCAGAAGAACTCCCAACGGTTGGTAACTCATCGTTCTAACTGTGAAGCGGCGGCCTGGCGTTCGGTCTATTTAAGCTACCAAATCGCGTGATCCATTTCGATATGAATCCAAATTAAGATCAAAGTAGGCTTCCGGTTTTGACCCAATGACGGGTGACAGGTGTCAGGGAGCCAGCCGGGCTAACAAGCTCAGTCTCACTTGCTCGCTTAGTCGGTTCAGTTCGGTTCGTTTTATAAAATTTTTCGCTCCAGACTTTATCCAAAAATTGTATCTAAATCTGAAATTGAAATTATTATTTCTTTAACTGTCTGAGCTCGCGTTTATTGTACTCTGAAGGACTAGTTGAAGTTTGCATAACACGAAGTTAGCCAAACATGAGAACCACTAAAAGTCGCGGGGGCAATGCCAATCGTTTGGCCATTGCAGAAGGACAATGGGCTAAGGGCAATGCCTACCATAAGGATCATGGCCGTGGCCTATCATCCGTAAGTCTGATAACGTAGATCTTCAATATGAATAGATAGCCTTCATCCCTAAGATAATGGCTTGGATTGGAGTATATTATTAGTAACCTAAAGCTTATATGTTACCAAGATCCTGGTATCCTCCATAAGCTTATACGCCATTCCATCTAAATCTTTTCCAGCAAAATCCCGCCCAATTTGGTGGCTTCTCGCAATCAGGACAACAGTATCCAGCCGTATATTCTCAGCCAGGACTCCGTGGCAGTGGCAAGCTAAAGGCCACGCCCATTTCCCAGCTACAGCAGCAGCAACAGCAGTTATTGTCCCAACAGCAGCAGCAATTGCTGGCCGCCGCATCGCCACAGGGAGCTGGCTTGGGTTCAGGGGTGGGGGCTTCCGGCGCTGGAGGAGCATTGGGTGGCGGCGTCAATATGCCTACCTATGCGGATCAGATGCATGCAGCCTTTCTGGATTATCAGCGCCAGCGGGCGGAATTTGAGCAGCAACAGCAGCAGCTGTTGCAGAAGCTCTATCATTACTATCCTGATGTAACCGGTGCGGTGGCAACGGCCCAATCCCAAGCACCGCCCGCCGACGCTGCAGGACCAGTGAACGTGGCACCACAAACCTTGGCCGCTGGACGCTTCGCCTACCGACGACAACCACAGTTTGGCAGCAATGGCCTCCAGCAGCCCGAACGTCTGGGATCCGGATCCGCTCTCCCCCTAGGTCCAGGTGTTTCGGCCGGAGTCCCGGGTGGAGCCGTTGGATCTGGACCCCTGCGCACCGTGGGCAACGTTGGCGGAGCCGGAGACTTCTATTCCACGCAACAGCACATGGGTTTCTTGCAGCAGCAACAGCTGGACGTACTCCGTGACCAGCAGCAGTCGGTGGCCCAGCAATTTGCCACTAGCCAATTGGCTCCAACTACCCGTCAGAGCTATGGCATGGCTGTACCGATGTCCTCCGTGTTGGGATCACCACAGTATCAGCAATCGCCGGATGTTTCCCATGTGAGCTTCTCGAGTGGCAACTTGAACTACAGTTTCTAACGATGAGGAGGCGGTGGAGGAGGAGGAGGAGGAGAAAGGACTTCTAGTGACTAGTATTTGCATTTTTTTTCTGGAGCATCTAAGTTTTTTTTTTTCTCATACATATTTTTTTTTGAGTAAATTTTCGTGGTATTTGATAAGAATTGTGTAGGGCAAAAAAGCGAAATAAAATTTGTGAGTGATGATAAAATGGGTGATGTTTTTAATGATTAATGGTGAATGAACTTACAAGTTAAATCGGAATAATAAAAGGTTCCTTTAGTCAGAGACTTTAGCGTTGTGTAGCTTTTTCTGTTTTACGATCGTTTGTATGTATGTGGGAATAAGTTGGCATCTCCGTTCTAAGTAATTCACCACAGCTTTGGTGTGCCCAGATGAGTTGTTAGGAAGAAAACTAATATGGCAAGCTCAGTGGTTTGGTGGAGTTGAAAGGAGAAGGAGGATCTGAAAAGAAACGGTATTTGTTTATTAGTGAATTTACTTATTAAAAAAAAACAAAAATTGTGGTTTTCTTTAGTTAAAAGTTAAGGAATTTTAGACCACGATCTCAAATGGAATATTTGTAATGATTAAGGTAAATAAACTGTTATTTTCCAGACTCACCCATCATCACGTGCCCTGCTATTTCATTCAAACTAGCTAAATAACCTTTTTTTTAGATTTATCTTAACTAATTCTATTACTTAAAAAAAAGGTATTTGTTTATCAAAGGGAGACTATCTCTGCTTATCTTTAAAAGGCCATCGTGCTCACGTGCAATTAATGTTTTAATGTTGTTTTGAACGTACCGCCTTCGCAACGGTAATTGCGTGCTGCCATTGAGTCTGTTTATAGAGTTTATAATCTCATCGTGGCACGGGGCACAGTCCATCCCAACTTCCCCTCCTTCAACCAACAGATCCCAGATCCATTTATCCAAAGCCTCTGCTGCTCGCTCGCCACAGCCGCAGCGAATTTCGATTGTGGGGGTATTAATAGATATCCATGGAAATGGTGGTGGCTGCCACACCTCCACTCTGGCTTGCACCTTGAACATACATACATACATGTGTATGTGTGTGTGTGTGTGTGTGTGTGTACCCCTTGGATCGCCTTGGGGCAACAATGAATGGAAACAATTGCCTTGGCTACCCCGTGGGTCGGGGGTGGCGGGCCAACTAATTGGGATGAGGATTGAGAAAGTGGATGTGAATGAGGCTGATGATGAGGCCAGTGGATAGCAAAGTCCAATGCAAACATATATGGCGAAACATTGAATCCTTTGAGTGGCCACTTGCCACGTGTGCATCCATAACTGCACTGGAAGAAAAAGATATTAATAAAAGATGAGTGGAATTGAAAGTAGTTATGGCTATAATCTGGTTGGGTTTTGGTCTTGAAAAACTTTGATTTTTGTTATGGGAAATCTCATGAATTTTCCTAACAATTTATAAATCAACCACTTAAACCATTGCCTAACTTTTAAAAACCATTTAAAACAAGGAATTACTACCAAAAATGCTTACCAATATTTAGAGACTCTCTAGCTGAGTTAACCCCACTTAGAAGCAGGAAAACCATGACCTTGCCACAGGCAATATAGACATAATTCTGGGCGTTGCACTTGTTTGTGTTGCCACAAACAATTAAGAGAATGAGAGAACGAGAGTGTTATGCAATTTTGGGCCTCCAAGCAGCATTCTGGCCAACAGGTGACAATCGAATGGCCCCCTAAGGGGGCTGCTGGCAAAAAGAGGATGTCCTTGAAGGGGTCTTTCAGTCTTGGCAGGACACCTGCCGTTGCGGGCCAATGTAAACAGTAAGTGGCAGCTTGGCTTGCCAAGTACAAAACGAGGCAAAAACCGGAATATGGCAATCACCGATATCCGAAAGCCAAAACACGACAAATGCATTAGCCAGGGAGACGACACGCTGACTAAGCCATTTCCACACAACATGAAGGCTAATAAATCTTAAAGAGAGAGAGAGAGTTAGTGATCATCGAAACTAATTTAATTTGTAGACCAAATATTAATTGAAAAAACGACACAGAAGGCGACCAAAAAGCAACCCCATTTTCCTTGGCCATATTTGCATGGAAAATTCCAATTTAGTGTCCGGCCAGGCAAATACACAAACACCGGCCAACAGGAAAAAGCAAACAGGCCAGCTAGGCAAAAGCATACCAAAAGCAAAAAAAGGAAAAATCAAAAAAGAAAAAAAGAGAGAAGCATATAGGAAAAAAACAAAAAAAAAAAAAAGAAAATGGAAAAAGAATTGAAAAACTAGCCGAATGAGAGACGCAGTGCAAATATAGTTACTAAATAAGCCCACGTGTGCGTGCGTATCCTGTTAGTAGGAAGGATCCTGCCTGTGTCTATATATGTGAGTGTGAGTGTGTTTGTATCTATGTATGCGTAGGACCGCATCCTGTTCATTTCCCCAAACGAACTGGCAAAACAAAGCACAGCATTCAGATACAAAGATAAACAAAGTGTTTTCCCTTGGAGGTTTCCTAGCCATAGTGCTTCGCTTTCGCACTACCCACCTGTGGCCAACTTTGCATGTCCTGGGAAAACACGAAAATTGCACTAGGAAAATTCCCCTCTCAAAAAAGAGAGAGAGAGAGAGAACAAACTAGCACTAGCACTTCTAGTTTAGTTTCCTAATTAGCTGCATAATTAGGAAGTAACTTTCGGTCCCAAGTGGCCAGCAATTGGCAAGTGGAAAATGCTTATATAGTGTGGTTACTGATTGTTTATAATAAATGTCAAGGAAAATGTCACTTGGAAATTATTTTTGTATAAATAGAAATAGAAATTTTGTTGTTTATTTATAGATTAACAAAGAAATGGCTATCAAATTTAGGGATTTATTAAGAATTTTAGTAAATTTGGTTGACAAATTGGAAAAATTTTGTAGTTGCTAGAAAATCTCCTTCAAACTTTGCCAATTTTCTTTAAAAAAAAGTGCGTTTTTGTTAAATATCTAAATAAGAATTTTATAATTTATGTTTTATACTATTTTTTGAGTGCAGAAATCCTTTTAGTTATATCTTAAAACAAGCTAATTTTTTACTTAATCAATTAACTCAACAGCTTAGCCAGCTTGGCAGCTTTTAAATGTTAAATAATTCCAACTTTTAAGCCACAAAATCATAAGCAAGCCTTGCTTATTATTTAAACAGTCAATCAAAATGAATAAATAATTAAGAGAAAAGGAGAAATTCCGCAGAAAACAGTTGTTAGTTTCATTTTTTATCACAAATAAACTAAAAAAAAAGATAAAAATATGAATTTTTCCAGGGAAGTCAACATGCAGCAGGCAGGCCACTTTAATTAACACAAAATGCGCGTGAAAAGATTTATTTATATTCCAGATTTTTCTCTGGAAAAGCTAAGAACGCCTACCCGCCCCCCTGCAGTTATCCCCGGGCTTAGAGTTATCCTTGTTGATGGCCCTTAAAGCTGTCGTCCCTCGCCGCTCAACGCCATCATTCAACTTAGCTTTGGCTAGCTCCAACTTTCGACTTTCACTCTCCATCGCGAACTCAGTGACATTTTGAATAGCCATCGAATTGCTAGGGATATGTTCTATGTTCTAGGCAATATTTTAGGCCAGGACCGAAAATAAACGGGTTATCATCTATTTCGGGGGCCATGTGCCCTGCCCCCATGTGCGAGATGGTGACGTAAATTGGTTTTCTGGGCCTTTGCACTTTCACTTGCTATTTTGCTGGACTACATTCGCTAGATACATACATATATTTATGGCCACCAAACAGTGCGTTTCATAGGGATAGTATATAATACTAAGAGTAGTAACTTTTAGCTTTAACCATATGAAACGCATATTGAGCGTGTTATGCCCCATAAAGTATGCTGATCAACTGATGCGTGGCATATAAATCTCAGCCTGCTTCTGCTTTGCATCATGGCCAAAAGTATAGTAAGAAAAAAAAAGCATGCAGCACTGCAACTGTGCTCTTGCAATGTATCATATATCATATATCATATATGCGACAGGCGAAAAAAAAAACGTCCTTCGAGTCCTCCTCCCTGCCATGTCATCATTTGCCAGCCAGCCAGTTCATAACAATGAGTTTATTTTTTCCAACATTTCCACATGCATTTCGTTTCAGTTTACAAAATAAGTTTAAATACAACGTAAATTCAACCGCGATAAAAAAAAAAACAAAACACTCACACACAGGAGGGTTGGTGGTTGAGAGGAGGGCGGGGTGGCTATAAGTTTAAGCTCTGGGGCCGGGCTAACAACACGATAATAGGAAAAATAAAACACACAAAAAAAAACCATAATAATAATACAGAAAAAAGCGGAGCAGAGTGAAGCGTGCGGCATCGCTGGCTTCCATCATCGTTGCCCAGGTGAGGTCAGGTGAGGCTCCGCCGCCGCCGCTGCCGTCGCCTCTCACAGGTCACAGGCTCTTCTCGGTGCAGTTAACAAATTGAGTTTTAATTAAGGCGAACAGCTAACGTTGACACGCTCTGGGTATTATTGTTCCTATTAGTGTTAGTTAGCCAAACGGGATAGTAGGCGGCGGTATCTGTACTTGTGTGTGTGTGTGTGTGTGTATGCTTGAGTGTGTATTGGTAATGTAGGAGTAGCACGGGGGAGCGGGCTAAGTGACGGTGCGGTGGGCGGTAAGCGATGGATCCCCTAGTAGCCATAGTGAATACCATGACCAGAGACCGATGTATGCACAAGGGCGGGTGCGGCAACAGCGGCCCTAAAAAAGAAAGAAAGAAAACCCAGATGGGGGGGGGGTGGCGATTATGAGGCAGCCGCCTTATTAATATAATTCTGCTAGCTAGGATACTCACTTAACCACTGGGGCAGCTAGATGCGTAGCGTAGGCAGGGGCAGCATAGGCGGGGGCTGCGTAAGCGGGGGCGGCCAATCCAATGCCATGTCCAATGATTCCAGGAGCTAGTCGTTGGTGGTGATGGTAGTTGTAGTAGTGGTAGTGGTAGTAAACAACACAACAACATATTCAAAACGTTAGCAGGTCTTTTAACACAAACACAAACGCAAAAGAGACATAGACATAGTAGAAAAGAGAAGATAGATAGACAGGGACAGATGGCTGGACTGAAAAGAGAGATAGTCGCCGAGGTGGATAGAGGGTCTCGAGATGGGTCGCTGTGGTGGATAGAGGGTAGAGATGGAGCTTCCCCAAATTAGCATCGAGTCCATTGTTTGGACAATACACTGTAAGGAGCCCAGGGGCTTCTCCAACCATTGCGCCACTTAAAGGTTGTCAACGGCAACCACCTGACAAGGCCTGACGATACCATCCGTCCACCCACCCAGCATGGTTTGTGCCGCAACATTGCTGCACTGAAAGAAAGTTACTAGTAGATTTGCTTGGGAAAATCTTTTGATTTAGCAGCAAAAAAGGGTAGGAAAAGTGAAAGGTAAACCTAATTTCTTGAGTTACTTTGCTTTTTGGCACTTTTAAACTAAAATATTCCCTTATTTTCTCTCAGTGTGCTGTTCTTTTGAAGAAACTGCCAACCCACAGCCCTGGGAAACGTGCATGGCTTGAAAAACTCCCGCAGAGCAGGCAATATAAAGCTGATGGACATGTTAAATCAGTAAGTAAAATAAATATTAAAGACTATAACCCACTAAAAATAAACTTTATATAAATATTTCTCTCAGTGCATTGAAAACACAAAACCTGGAAGGGCGTCAGACAACATCAATCAAGTGACATCCCAGTGACACCGAAGGGAACTGCGATGACTTGGCCAAATCGGTGATTGGGAGTGACTCACTGACTTGAAACTTGGTCCTGGGGCTGAATCAGCAGCATTTTTTCGGATGCAGTTTTTGGTAACAAACATTTTGGCATGTTGAACACTGCTTGACCGGAGCTTTAAAGCCGTCGCCAAAACGAATAGATATATAGATAGATAGATAGATAGGCAGGCGATGAATGATTGATTACACTATGGGAGTGATGGGGTGGTTACCTCACCGCTGAATTCCCAACCAACCAAGCAAGTTATATATCTGTTTTCTAGGAAGACAAATCGATTGCGGACGGACCCAAAAACCGATTATCCCTTTTTTGTTTGGCTCTATGTGGTTGGGTGGATCCCAATCCGGAATGTTGGTGTGGCTATATCGATTGCCTAAGGCTGTTTAGGGTATCCTTATGATTGCTGGAGGCAATAGCAATGATCTCTTTGAGGGCTTTAACCTTTAAATTTTTAAGCCGTAATAATGCCTTATCACCTGTGTGATGGTTTTCCCAACCACCACCTTCCACAACTTAAAACAATTTGAGGGGAAAGTTTTTCCTCTTGGCTTTCGCCACAATCTACTGCATCAAAACGATCTGTAAGTAGTGTAAATCCCTTTACCCCCTCCTTAACTAACTTTGGTGGCACGACTAGCTCAGGAGAAGAGTCTACCCCACACATCAGAGTCCTGATGGAGCGAAACTTGTTCTTTGTACGCCACACCAGGAGAAGGAAAGTTTGTTTTTGCCAAGTGCACTTGGCCAGCATAGCGAAAACACAATAAAGTTTTGCTTTTCAGACTCAGGGGGAGGGGGGAAAACTCCTGCCAGAAATTAGTGGAAAATCGCTGAGGAAACAGAAAACATTTTTTCGGGGCATATACAAGGAAGCGGTGCGAAAAGTGCATAAGAAGAGTGCATGAAGAGTTAGATCGGTGAAATGGGATTAGCTTTCAGGTTAGTCCTGGATACAGGAAACTGGTTACTTGGGATACTTGCAAGCTCAAATCCCAACCAGATTCCTGGTCACCACCTACCGTACGAAGGAGCAGCGGCATATTTAACAACCGGAGCTGGTGCAGCGGCGATTGGGGCATGGGCCAGATATCCATGCGATATGGCTGGAGCGGCACTATAAGAACCATATCCGCCATATCCATAGCCTCCATAGCCACTGTAGCCTCCCAGTCCCAGGGAGTGACCCAATTGCACGGAATGACCCAAGTGTCCCAGTCCGGAGATCTGAATAGCCGGTGCCGTGGCTCCATAATGTCCGCCATAGGCTACGCCCTGGATTTGAGCTGGAGCCGTGTGTCCAGCATAGCCCAAGGAATAGGCCGGAGCAGCAGCGATGGCATGGGCCGGAGCAGCTTTTGGTTTTGGTTTTTTTTTTGTTTGGGTTAAGATTTTAATTTTTGTTGGGTTAAAAGTGTTAACTAAGCAGTGATGGCAGGTTGCTGACTAAAAAAGGGTTTTTATTTCGTTTTAAATGGTTGAAAAAAATCGAATTAAATATAATCTAATATTATAAATATTTTTAAGGAATATACAAAAATTAGGAAAAAATTTTAAAAAGTAAAAAAGTGAGTTCAAAAAGTGAGAAAAACTGAATTTTGAGCAATTTTTGGAGGAAACTTTCTTTGTTTTTTGCTTTTTCCCATAAAATATCTTTAAGATTAACTATTTTTTAAGATGTAAGTATACGAGGTGTGTTCAAAAAGTAAGGTGACTTTTCAAATTTCGCGGGCAACATATTTTCGATTATCGTTTTTTTTGTTTTGTTATATTGGTACACTCTTCCCTAACATCTGTACCAAGTTTCAATGGAACATCCTCTTTTGTTTGGTTGTGAGAGGCGTAAAGTTACAAGTTATTTTGCGAGCTCGGCGATTTTTTGCTTTTTTCGGTCTTGGCTCGTCTGGGCTCTTCCATTGGGACGATTGGGCTTTGGTTTCGATATCATAACCATATACCCATGATTCGTCACCAGTTATGACCCTTTTGAGTAAATCTGGGTCGTCGTTGACGTCATTCAACAGCTCTTGAGCGATGCTCATGCGACGGTTCTTTTGGTCAAAATTCAGCAATTTCGGAACAAACTTCGCTGACACACGACTCATACCCAAAACGTTTGAAAAAATTTCATGGCACGAGCCAAGCGATATACCGACATCTTCAGCAACTTCTCTGATAGTGATTCGACGATTTTCCAAAACAATTTTCGTCACTGCTTGAACGTTTTCATCAGTTGTTGACGTGCTTGGGCGTCCAGAGCGAGGCTGGTCATTGGCATCTTCCCGGCCATCTTGGAAGAGTTTGTACCACTTGTACACATTTTTTTTACTCAGAACAGTTTCACCGTATGCCACTGTCAACATTTCAAGTGTTTCAGAGCACTTAATTTTATTTTTTACACAAAATTTGATGCAAATCCTTTGATCCATATTTTTCGATAGCAAAAAATCGCCGAGCTCGCAAAATAACTTGTAACTTTACGCCTCTCACAACCAAACAAAAGAGGATGTTCCATTGAAACTTGGTACAGATGTTAGGGAAGAGTGTACCAATATAACAAAACAAAAAAAACGATAATCGAAAATATGTTGCCCGCGAAATTTGAAAAGTCACCTTACTTTTTGAACACACCTCGTATTTTTTATACGAATTATCAATTTATAAACATATTTTCTTTCCCTTTTTGAGGTCAAAACCTGAACCTTCACTGGAACTACGTGCAAAAAGGCAAACAATGGTGACTGTGAGTGGTGTGAGCTTGTGCTGAATGGTGCTTTAGCGGTGTATCTTTCAGTGGATTCAGTGGATACTTGATGGATCTCATAGATCTAGTATAGATAACTAGATCCCTTACTCACCTGCATAACCATGAGCGGCAACGGGCGCCAGACCAGCATCATTGCTGATGCTCGAACGCTGGACATGGGATTGCGAATGGGCGGTCTGAACCTGGCTGGCATAGTCCGATTGCGAGGATTGTCCATAATGACCCTTAACAGTATGCTCCTGAGTGCTACCAACAGAGGCATGATCGACACTAGGAGCACTGATCGAATAGGCAGCCGGACCACCAGGTTTCGCCTGGGTGCAGGCAATCAATGCCAGAAGGACAACGGAGAGTACAACCTGCGGATGAGTAATATTTATGCATTATGCTGGCATATAAATTCCCTGTGTCTGTCTGGCTTTTGTCGCAGTTCGAAGAAGCTCAACAGGAAATTGCAGGCGAACAAACTTTTAATTAAGTTGCTAAAGTTTGTTTCTGGCAAATAGTTGGATTATATATAACCTTGAAAGGTTGCTGCTGCTGCTGCTGCAGAAGCGATGTCTATCGCTTAATCGAAAGACATACAAAGCTATCTATTCAATATAAAAAATATATATATGCCATATTGCTAAGTAAATCGTAAACTGTTAAGGGGGAGGGAAAAGAAACCGGAAAACTGCCAGCAATGTAAAAAATAAATATGCAGACATATTTACCCATAAACTATTGGCTTTTAAAAAGGAAAACTACACAAAAAGTGAAATGTTAACCAACTTTTAGTGTTAATAAAAAATAATAAATGAAAGTGGTTTGGTTAACTATATAAATCCTGGCTGGTTTACTCACAAATTAACTCTTAATAAACTTCAATTTTTCACTATCTATGCTTTTGACCTCATATTTCTTAGCCATAACCAGCAATCCTGAACCAGTTTAAGGCCTCATAATTAGCAGCTTCTAAACAATCGCATAATTAGCATGCGTGTTGGTCTTGCTCTCATTTTTCCATTGCCTTGGACATTGAATTTCAATTGCGAATTGAGCCGAGATTGAAATGCACTTTCAATTGGCCAAGATGGGGTCGAGTTGTGGCCTGGCCAAGAGCCAGTCAACCTAGTTATCCTGCCAGCAAAAGGGAAAATCAAGGAGTGCCTCTTCTTTGTTGATGTTAGAAAGGATAACAGCTGCAGGCAGCTTGTATCTTTGTATCTTTGTATCCTGACTGGCAGACTGACTGACTGGCTGACTTGCTGACTCCTTTTTCCATGTCAATCCCTGTGTCAGTGGCAAAAAGGCAACCACGCACCTTGAATGCCATTGTTGTAGTTTTTGTTGTTGTTATAGTAGGTTTTTCACTTAAAAAAATGCGACTCAGTTCGATTCGGATTGCGATTGGTAACTGTCTCGGTTAGCCGTTCTTTGGGCCTATTTATACGACTGCAGGCAGCCGCCGACGTCGCCGGTTTGCTCTCAAAAAAAAAATATGTGTGGCAAAAAAATAAAATACAACAACAAAAATGGTGAAAAAAAATAAAATCATTGGAAAAACAAAACAAAAAGAAGAAAAATTAAGTGGCAGCAGCCATGAGAACGGGTTTTCATCAGTTGGCAAAGCAGGCAACGCGCAGGCGCGCCCGCTCTACGCAATACCGCCGCCGCCATCGTCGCCACGCCTCCTGCAATCCAACGCCTCATTGCCTTTCGTGTTAATCATATCGATTGTTTAATTGGAAATTTGTCCAAATGTCCAAAAGACGACAAAAAGGAAATGCCAGCGGACAAGGTGAGTTCGCTTTTGGCTTGCTGAACTAGCGAAGTCTTTCCTCGACTTGTTCTCATTTCCAGGAGCCATGCCCTCTGCCCCGGCATAACATCATTCACGTGGCTCTTGTCAAGTGCTTTATTAATGGATAGCCGCCGCTCTACCTCCCCCATCCCACTATATTTTCCATTTTTCACCACACCCGGTGCGTTGCATATTTTTTGTTTTTGTTTTGGTTTTTTTGTTTTCGGGCCCAGCCTGCGGACTTTTTGTGTTCAACTTTTTACAGACTTTTCATACCACGCATTTGATATACGAGGTGTGTTCAAAAAGTAAGGTGACTCTTCAAATTTCGCGAATTTCAAATTTTTCGATTATCGATTTTTTTGTTTTGTTATATTGGTACACTCTTCCCTAACATCTGTACCAACTTTCAATGGAACATCCTCTTTTGTTTGGTTGTGAGAGGCGTAAAGTTACAAGTTATTTTGCGAGCTCGGCGATTTTTTGCTATCGAAAAATATGGATCAAAGGATTTGGATTTTTTGGCCAAAAACAACACCACAATAATGCCTCAGCCACCATATTCACCGGATTTGGCCCCATGTGACTTTTTCTTGTTCCCAAAACTGAAGATAATCGAAAAATTTGAAAAATTTGAAATTTGAAAAGTCACCTTACTTTTTGAACACAACTCGTATAACTTCTAATAATATAACTTCGATAATCGAAAAATTTGAAATTCGCGAAATTTGAAGAGTCACCTTACTTTTTGAACACACCTCGTATATTAAGTGGGCATAATGGCCAGTACTTTATAGAGCTTTCTAATTAAGAATATATATGTACATATATATAAATAGGAAAACTGAGGAAATTATGATAAATTAACTAACTGCTTTTGTTGACAGAAAAGCTCTAAGAGGTCAAGAGAATGCTTTTGGTTTTTGCTATTTGGGCAATGTTAATGGTAATGTTTAAATGAGGTTATTATCATGGAAAGTTAATGATTGTAATAAGGAAAATAATATGTTTGAGTAAATGTTTAAATATTCTAATGTTAAATTAGATATATTTAAGATTTTTAAGGCATTTTTTAGGGGAGTTTCAGAGTAGCTTAACTTGAGAATGTAAACTTCCTTAGATTTGTAGCTATAATACACATTTTTTGTTGGGAAATAATGGTTTAAAAATTTAATTATTTAGAAAAATATTGATCAATTATTTATATAGATTATTCCTAGACTTAAGGGATTGAATTCTGGAAGCAATTTATATAATAATAACTAAATTCTGTAAGAAATAACCTAACAAATTATCTTCTTAATGGTCAAAGTAGACATATTTTTAAACTTAGCATTAAGGAAGCTAAGAAATTGTTAAATTATAATATTTTACTAATAAATATATCACATTTTAACCCCTTAATACCTAATGAGTATATGACCAACCGACTAGATGCCAACTTCTCAGTTACCATTTGTTATTTTTTTTGCTAGTTCTCACGCAGCCGCCGCCAAATGGGCGCGGAAATTGGGCAGATTGGATCGGATCGGTTTGGATCGGGGCGCTTTAACCGAGAGAGTGGGAGCCATAGACATAGAGATTGCAACTGGGGGGCATAGAGTTTTGTGGGCCTGTTTTTTGTGGGGCCTGTTGAGGACCTGGCAGCAGACCTGCCTCTCTGATTGCACCGCATTTCGAAAGGCCCGAAAGGCCTTTTTGTTGGCTTTTGATTTGTGTTTTCTGATCTAAGCCATTTTTGTTGTTGGTTAACAATTTTTTGTGGGTCGCTCGCAATTTATGCGCACTTTGTGCGTTGTCGTGACGAGGGACAGATAGAAGCACCGAGAGAAATTATTTATATTTATTTTTAACAATGGTTTTATAATTTTTGTCTTTAATTGGTTTTATAAAAATAGCTTCGCTTCGCTTTTAAGATTCAAGTTAATATGATTATTTTTTAATTTTTATTTTAAATATTTACTATTGTGGTAGGCCCACTGTACTTCACGTAGCATAACACATACTTAGAATAAAACAGAATATCCCAAGTTAACTGTAAGCTTCAAATTGTTATCCCTTTCTACCATATATATTAGCTTAAGAGATCACATGTTTCTCCTTCGCTGACGGATAAGCGAGGATAAGGAAGCAGAGAAATTGTTTAGTATGGTTATCCTTTTCTACCGTATGCATTAGCCTAAAAGATCAACTGCATGTACGTATATATCTATCTCGCTGGCGGATGAGCGTGGTGAATAAAGAAGATGAATAGCGTCATTTGCTTTTTGGCGGTTAGCAAGAGCGGTTGAATAATAGGAAAAGTGCATTAAAAGTTTTAAAGTGTGTATTAAAGTGCGTATTAAAGTGTTTAACCTGTTAATAAGAAGTATTAAGAAGTTCTAATATCTAAAAATTAAAGTTCAAATTCTATAAACTATTTTTTTTTCAACTGTATTCTGGTGTGGTTCACATGTAGAGCGGGCCAGGGAGCGTTATGTAATAGCCCACAGCTGGCTGTCCGCCTGGGAGCAAACACACACATACACTCCAACAATACACACAGAGATTTCGCAACCAAGGCGACGCTGGGAAATTGCTAGCATTTTCCAACTGTCAACCGGAGAACCTCCGCCAAGGAGAGCGAGTCGGACACCCAAATTCGAAATCGTAGTCGGGGGCAAAAGTGCAGCCAACCTTCAGGACAAATATATGTATGTACGTAGAAACGCACAGCGGGGTTTTCTTTTATGTTTTTTCTTATTTTTTGAAACGGTCAGTAAAAGCATTATCAAGCTGAAGACGGCGCCACTTGTTTTGGCATTGCCAATTCCGAGGAAGCACACAATAAGACAAAATGGCGGAGAAGTTGTGAAGGATTGCACTTAGAAAAATACACATGTAAGTTTCTTTATAATTATTATGGCTTTGACTTTAACAATGTGCTTCAGAGAGCAGGATCAAGATTTAGATCCAGGTAGAAACAGTGAAGGATCACGTTGAAAGAGCTTCTTAGCCAGAGTCACCAGTCCCAGGTTGCTCTTAAGAAAACTATCAAGGAAAGATCAGTCACAAATTTAATCTATCCCCCACCACCCAGTGCACCACAGCCGGCGACGACTAGAAAAACCCTAAACATCTGTTCACCCCACAGACACCAGCAAGGCCACTGCGAAATCGGTTAAATCTAAGTCTAGATTCAGCACCGCTACGTTTCCATATAGCACGATAATGTCGGAGGATCAGGAGTTCCACTGTGACGAGTTCGTCATGAAGATACCCATGTGGCGGGATGCACATATGAAAGAGCAAAGAGCACGGCTCGAAAGCCTTAGGGTACGCCAAAACCAAAACGAGGCAAAGCTGGACCCGTTGCTTGAGGATTCCGAAGGCATACAATTGGCCAATGAAGTACCAGCTCAAGCATTTGGTGAAAATGTGGTCAGCATGAAGGCGCGAGAAGACTTCGGCGTCTCCTGGGTGGATGCTATCGAAGCGCCTACATTGATTGCCAAAAGAAAGGCACTGACTGAGCCTGTGGCAACGTTGGCTAGCGGAAAGCTGCCCTCCACCACCGCCGAGGCAGAGTATCAAGTAAATCACTCCTCCTACGTTTTTAAAAAGCTAATCAACCGCAAGAAGAATCGTTAGCCAGGCCGCTCCTGGTGGAACTACTACGGAAGCTAAGCTGGCGATCGGACAAAAGGCGTTGCGTTTACCATTTTTTTTTTTTTTAATTTAGTGTTTATTTTAGTGTTAACAACGACTCCCAGAGATGGTCAGATGTCAAGTAATCCAGATCAGAAGATGTTTTTTGTTTGAATTTTTTTATTTTATTTTTATGAGAAAAGAAGTGCGAAGATGTCTTCTAAAACTTTTTATAGGAAGTGTTCTTGCAGAATTCTTAAATCCAAAAATATTTTTGAAATTGCCTAAGAGATATGAATAATCATTTTCAAGTTAAGTTCATTGCTGCTAAGCTATTTTTTTTTCTCGAAAAATCGATAATAACCGATGAGTCAAGTTAAGTTACCATTGCGGGACCACTTCGTTGATCGCAGGGATTCAAAAACACTCAACTAAGGAAATTACAAAAAATAAAAATATATATATATATATATATAGGAAAGATAAAGAAACATGATAAGCTTTCCCCGCCGACTGTAATAATCTTTGAGTAAATATAATTAAATAATCAATAACCCGCTGATAAAAGAAAAGGTCAAACGGGGAGATAATCCGGAGATCGGGTAGTCGGAAAAAGGAGCTTGCCATGGAACTGCCCCGCCTCATTCCGGGACTTTGACTTCAGATAACCGACGACCCGACTGTATATAAAACGTTTCGATTGGTTCCCATACAACAGAACTTGCGGATCAGCATCCAAGTTAATAACAGCATCAACCATAGATTCCAGGGATTTACACAAATCAAAGAAAAACAGAATGCCGAACTTTACCGTCGCCGCTGGACTTTTAGTCTGCCTGATCATCATACTGGGAGGCCAAGGAGCCCTGGCTGGCATTTCTAGGGTTAAACTGACCAATCCCAGTAAGTTTAAGGGGTTCAATGTCTTTAAACAAAGATTCCCTATCATAAATCACTTGCAAAATAAGAAGATTTAAAGATTTGCTTTTATATACTTAATCATAACTCAAACTTTTAAACCAAAGATAAAGTTTTTAAGAAATGTGTACGATTTAATTTTTCCCGGTTTCAGCTTATCCCGGCAGGTGTGTGTTAGACGGTTATACGACTATGATGCCCGGTCAGATTCGTAAGGTTCCAAACGTGCCATGCGCCAGTGTCAAGTGCGATTCCGATTTATATGCGACCTTCACTAACTGTCCAATTGTCGATCCACCGAAAGGATGCAAACAACGCGATTTTGTCAACCCAAATCGCGATTTTCCCGCTTGCTGCGAGCGAAAATACGAATGCAAAGCAAAAAACTAAAACTGATGGTGTCAAAATTTTCGAATGCTTCAGCAATATGCAATTAAATAATAAGCTTGATTTATACAATTAATTTGCGCTCCTCGAAGCCCCAGAAAATAAACCAGATCCAGAAGGAGGAGGATTTGGAATCGTTTAAGGTTGAAATATATTTGATGTCTCTCTTTTGGCAATCACAATTTCCCTTTTTTCTTCGTAAGTTTTGCTCATTTGTTTGTTTCTTTTTTGTTTTTAATAAAATTTCAATAATTTTAGATTTAAATGAAGACTTTAAGAAAATTACGAATTAAAATGCTTCACATTTCGTCTATCAATGACCAAGTTATGGACATAATATGGTAATTTTGAGGGGTGTTTATCGAGTTTTGCATTTTTAGTAAGGATACTATAAAGTAGTATAAGTTTATTAATTTCTTAATCTTGTTTTGGCTCAGTGTAAAACTTGCGAAGGGAAGTGAATTCCCGATGCAGCGGCAATCATCGATTGTCATTGTCATTGATGATGAGCCACCACTCTCTCTGCCCATCTATGTTGTTGCTATTGTTGTTATTCCATTGTGTAATGGCGTGATGTTTCAATTACCGCCCATCATTCCCATTTCTTCCTCCCCCTTCATTGTTAAAACCCAGCGATAAATACACACACACTAACTACTACACACACACACACACACACAATGCCAACTCTGCGGGCGACGCAATCTGCGAGCTTTTTGTCTCCGACATTAATTTGTATAATTGCAATGCCAATACAGGACAAGCAGTCGTGGCCAGCCAAGTGCAGCGAGCCATTGCCATCTCAATGTCCTTTTGCCATGGAGTCCATGGAGAGTATCCACCCATTCAGTTCAGTCCACCAACCCACTGTGCTGTGCTGTGTCCAGTCAGGCGCAACATTTCACGTCTATGTGGGTCAAAAAGGCGCAGACAACGGGCCAAAAAACAAAGCCAAACAAAAGGGATATATGGATATTATTTGTAAAAGACCAAAAGGATCAATTCATGACTAAATGGTTATATCCTTTTTAGATCTAGAAAAGGAAAAGCTAAAAACCAAAAAAAAGTTTTCGTTTTTTGACAAAAAGAAAGCTTTCTAAACTCTAGTTAAAGTTTTGTTAACCAGTTTAAGGATTATTTGCAATTTGTAAGCTAAAATTGTATCAAATAGATATAGAGATTAGTTAATATATTATATATTTTTACTTCATGAACTTTAAACTAAACATCTCCATCTTTTCAGATTCGAAATAACCAACATGGTCATGTCCAGAAACTAAGAGGTATCATCACCCGCAATGGACAATGACTGACAGCCGTTGCAGTTGCTCTTGAAACCGCTGTCATTGTTGCCATGTCCATTGTCCATTTACCATAAGCGATGTGGGTCTTAGTTTTTCGCTGGTTTGAGATGGCGACATTTGCCTAAATACTTGGCCAACAGCAACAATAACAACAGCCTCGACGACCATTATAACACATGCTGTCTCTTCTATTCCCGCCTTTGTTGGCCTTTCGCGTGGAATTTGCAAAAGGCGAAGATTAATGACCGAAATGCCCTGACAGCGACGCATCACCCAGGCCATCGATATCAATGGCTAAGGATATATGAGCAGAACAGACTGGTATGATGACCACCTACCAAGTCATGATGATTGTTTATTATTATATGACTAACAACCTAAGTTGAAGTTAAAAATATGCTTAAAAATTGAAAAAAAAAAAGAAAACAAATGTCAGGTTTAAGTTAAGAATTTGAAAGGCTAACAAGCAGAAGATTTATGTATTTACTTTTAAGAACTATTAACCACTGCTTTGATGAATATTAGTTTATGGATTTTACTTTTCCTCTTTAAGTTCTTGTTTAAAGTCTCTAAGTAAGGTTTAATGTAACTGATTTATGTCTAAGAATACCCCTAGGAGTTCTCTTAGTTTTAAGTTCTTTTTCTTAGCTCTAAGATAGTTTACCCTAATCAAATCTAAATGCTTTAGTTACTTAAGTTAATCACTTTAAGGTGTTTAAGCTAACACTTAAGAGAACTGCCATTAAGGGCATCCTCAATTTCTGTGTGAAACTTAAATGGCTATCTTACCACTACCCACCGACAGATGGCGTTTAGGAAAAAAAAAAAGAGATAGGGAGAGGTTCAGCGAACTTGTACAAGGGGGCGCAGCCCCTAGCCAACCGAAACTAGAGCAGTGCTCTAATATTACTCGCTATTAACTGCTATATGTATGTAAATAACCAAAAGCATTAAAATTTAACCTTCAATTAGAAAATCAATAGGCAAAAAAAAAAAAAAAAAGAGGCGGCCACACCTCCATGTTGCCAGATCTTTTTGGCCAGATTCGAAACGCGCCTTTGTTCGTGCGCCTTTTGTTGTCTTCATCTTGTATTTTCATATTTTCTTGGAATTATTATTATGATTTTTTCTCTTGATGCCACAGCTGCGATTTAGTAACGTTTGACAAGTGGGCGTGCTAGCGACAAGCCACGCCCACATGCCGCCCTGCGTTAATTTGTTCTGCAATCTGCAAGTTTTTTTTTTTTTTCTATTTTCCGACTTTTCCATTACACTTCTTTTTCTCTTAGCGGTAATGAGTATTGGTAAGCAAGCGAGGAAAAGCCATAATGATATTTTTTATATTTTTTGCTTAATTTTTAGTTTGTTTTCTTTTTTAATTTTAAGGGTTATTGATGGAGATAAAACCTGATTGAGATGGAAGATGCTTTTATGGAGGGATTTTACTAACTTTAGTTTAGTTTTAGTTTAATAATACTTTAATATGATTAGCACTTACTCTAAACTTAAGTTAAGTGTTAATAAGACCAACTTTTTGACCGCTTAGTTAAAATCCATAACTTTTACCTAACTACACACGAGTATATACATTTTAGAAGCAAATTTCATGAACTTATCATTATTAACTACCTAATTTCAATCATTTCTCAACTAACTAACTTTTATTTTTAATATTTTTAAGCTACACTTCGATTTGCCATCAATTTGAGGTAGACTTAAGCTGATAAGTCTTACTTGTGGACTGACATCGATTCAAGAGGCCGCCAGCAATTAAAAATCACCACAAAATTGCGCTTAAGTGCAGCAATTAAACAATCTTGGCCAACGCTGCGTATACGCAATTCAAGAAAGTCTTGCCTGTCTAAAAGCTAAAACAGCAGGCAAGTGAAACGATTAGAGGGAGACTATAAACGAGTATGTATTAATACATATATATATATATATTTTAAATGAGATTAACTATATATTAAATAAGTCAAGGAAAATGAAGAATTTTCTTGCTTAAAGTCTATAAAATTCTCTATAAATTTAATTTTAGTTAGCAAACTGCAAAGCCTCAGTGTATCTGGACTGTCAGCTTATGTAAAATGTGTAAAAATCAGTCGTTGCATAAATAATTGCCACCTGCATTTGGGTTTTTCTAACGACAGGCGCAGCGGTTCCCAGCCAAAGTTGTGCGACAATAATCGGTGGGTTTTAGTGACTTAGTGACCTGATTTCTCAAACCGCCCAATTTCCGACACGCCCACGGTCTTTTAATTCAATTAGTTTATTTTATTGATATTCATATACATATAGAGTATATCTATATATATATCTTCTGGGACAGCCTTTGGGCAGCCACAAAAATGCGCGGTAGAAAATTTTATTTTGGTTTTATTTATAGGCGGAATCCTATAATTTGTTTGGCCTACACAAGGCTTACTGGCCATTAAAGATCCCTAAAAAAAAGAGGATTAAATGAAAGGTTTTTTTTTTTTTTAGCAAAAACAAGTCACTTGTGAAAGCTTTACTTGGCCAATTGGCCAATATATATTGGTAGGTGCTTATCTAATATCCAGCCTACTGAGCATCCTACAGTCGCCAGACTAACCAATTGACTTATCCCAGATTTTGGCCATTTTTTTTTTTTTTTGTTTTTTTTGGCCTTGTCCGTTCCCTAATTGAGTTGGTTTATTAGTTTGGCCTGGACCAGGAAGCCCTACATATGCAGTTGGCCTTGGCAACGCATCAGGATGATGATGATGCCCCAAGTAGGAGGCAGCAACATCTTCACCCATCATTTTCCACCCGGTTGATGGACACTGATATAGACCCAAAGACAGGCTCTAACTTCAGCTACAGAGGGAGGCTACACCTACACTGCCTTCTGGCCAATTCTACTGAGTTATGGGTTTCGACTGAGAGATGGGTGTTGGTTGGGTGTAGTACCCCCATCACCCCTCTGTACATCCTAATTCGCATATTTCATGTGTACTACCAGCTTCATGTTGTATAATTTATGAATTCCCATTTCCATTTTCGCTGTAGAGTTGAGCTTAAAGTTCGACGGCAGAAGGTTGGTTGGAAAAGCCAATGTGAAGCCTGTTTTGTGTAATACAAAGAGTACTTCAGGCATTGTTAAACCAAAGGGAAGACTAGTTTTAGTAACTAACTAGGGATGTTTAGGGGGAAAATTATCTTAAAAAAATAGAATTTTAAGGTTTTTTTTTGGGGTTTTTTGCTTTTTTCTTCTTATTAATTCAAAAAATCATAAACAAACTTTTGTTTCTGATATATATATTATATACGAGGTGTGTTCAAAAAGTAAGGTGACTTTTCAAATTTCTCGGGCAACATATTTTCGATTATCGTTTTTTTTGTTTTGTTATATTGGTACACTCTTCCCTAACATCTGTACCAAGTTTCAATGGAACATCCTCTTTTGTTTGGTTGTGAGAGGCGTAAAGTTACAAGTTGTTTTGCGAGCTCGGCGATTTTTTGCTTTTTTCGGTCTTGGCCCGTCTGGGCTCTTCCATTGGGACGATTGGGCTTTGGTTTCGATATCATAACCATATACCCATGATTCGTCACCAGTTATGACCCTTTTGAGTAAATCTGGGTCGTCGTTGACGTCATTCAACAGCTCTTGAGCGATGCTCATGCGACGGTTCTTTTGCTCAAAATTCAGCAATTTCGGAACAAACTTCGCTGACACACGACTCATACCCAAAACGTTTGAAAAAATTTCATGGCACGAGCCAAGCGATATACCGACATCTTCAGCAACTTCTCTGATAGTGATTCGACGATTTTCCAAAACAATTTTCGTCACTGCTTGAACGTTTTCATCAGTTGTTGACGTGCTTGGGCGTCCAGAGCGAGGCTGGTCATTGGCATCTTCCCGGCCATCTTGGAAGAGTTTGTACCACTTGTACACATTTTTTTTACTCAGAACAGTTTCACCGTATGCCACTGTCAACATTTCAAGTGTTTCAGAGCACTTAATTTTATTTTTTACACAAAATTTGATGCAAATCCTTTGATCCATATTTTTCGATAGCAAAAAATCGCCGAGCTCGCAAAACAACTTGTAACTTTACGCCTCTCACAACCAAACAAAAGAGGAT